GACAGCAACTGTACAACGTTTCGACAAGGTTTTGTCATCATCAGGTCGAAACGTTGTACATTTGCTGTCATGTTAAACTTATATTAAAGTTTTTCTTCATTACCCATTTAAGCCGTCTCCAGCCATTATTAAATTTATGAATAACAAACACTGTAAGACTGCAAAAATTAAATTGACCTTTTACACGAAAAGCAATACCTCCACATTAATAGAAATGGGTTTTGAGGATATCATAACTTATCCAAAACATACACCAAGCCAACTAGCTGCCATTGTTAATGCCAATAAAACAGCCAACATTAATGATTACACAATCACCTAATTCCATAACCTAACTACACAAAGATCTAACTTAGGTCTGTTTCTCCACCTTATAATGCATGATCTACAAAATATTAACTCAAAAAAAAAGTAGCAAAGGAAGTAACCCAAACTGATCAATCAAACAGCATCAATCATAACTGGTATTATTTTGAAATACGATCTTTTTAAAATTACAGATCCTGTGCCCAGTAAATGTAGAAATTAAAGGAGTATCCAGCTAAAATTTATGGATGGCACTGGTTGTTTTGCCCAGAAAGTGAACATTCACACACTTTTGTTTAAAGAAAGATAGTATCTCAATGCATTCAACATGGTTGCCCTATAAAAAATCATTATTTTCATCCAAAGTATAATGAAATTAAATATCACAACAAAACCATTTTTAATGGAAAAAATGAAATTATTTGGTATTCACTCCATCAGCATTTCCTTAATCCATAAATAAAGAAAGCAAAAATTAAATGTATAAAAGAATCTGTGTATATACAAATATTTTCAAAATAAACAAAATAAAACCAACCATAAACTGATTATCCAGGATCTTTCTTCTTAAGGAACTTTGGGGAAAAGGAAATGGCAAATGAGGTGACTTCTGCAATTTCTGGACTTCTCTGTTACAGGATAACAGAGGTTGCTTCTCAAGCAGTTTTTCTTTACCACAAAGATCATTTTCTTGGGACTGACTTTCAGGGTTATGTTGTGGAGTTAAAGAGCAACTATCGGGTGTTTTAAGAATGGGAGAAAGAGAGTGCTCCAAAAAATTTTCACTTGTGGAAACATCTCTATTTTCATGAATAAATTTATCATATTTGTAATTTTTAACCAGTTGAACAATTTCTCTCTCACATTTCTTTCTTGAATCTGCTGAATTATAAAGTTCACTAAAATTTCCTTCAAACATCTTTCCTGAATTTCTAACTGATAAAGATATAACTGCATTTGAATCATCTTTTAATTTCTGATTTCTATTTGGCTCTCTGATGTCTCCATCAGAAAAACTTCTGGACAAGCACTTTTTACCTGACCAATCTTCATCCTCATTACAAAAGAACTTACAAATATTTTTATCAAATAATGAAGTAATATCATTACTGGAAAAACTTTTATATATTTGACTTTTAATTAATGAAGCATCTTCCTCAAAAATATTTAATATCTGACTTTTATTAACTGATGACACACATTTCCCAGATATATTGTAGCATTTCTTTCTTTTAAATGAACATTGTTCCTTTCCACTGGTTATATGTCCACCACCTTCACCTACCAGAGACCCACAGCTTGTTTTAGGCATACATGAAATTACCAGGTTGGTGTCGTCATCTTTGAAGTCCTTCACTTCAAATGAAGCATCTTGTGCACGATGGTTCTTCATTACTCTTGGAGTAGAAGTTTGTTCAGCATTAAAAAATGTTTTCAATGGGTATGACAAGAGCATTTCCTTTTTAGATCTTAATGTTTCATACTTGTTAATCGCCACAATTTTACTACTAACCAAGTTAATACAATCAGCATCTAAGCCAGAATGATGTTCACCATTACTATGTTGTGGTGAACAACTGTCATAGCAAGATGTAGGATTATAATACGGATGATCTTTTTTATTTTCTTTATAAAACAAGTTGCTATTAAACTTCATGGTATTTTGTTGTTTGTTTTGATTTAACAATGCTTTTCTCATTTGCAGCCAATTATCAACAGTTTTTCTATTTGGAGGTAAAATGGCTGGAGTTATGACAACTGAACTGCCACTGGCCAACACTGTTTTCAATCTGGGTTTCTTAGCAGTCTCCTGAATTAAACAGAAGCTTGAAGATAATCCTTCTGCTCTCCTCTGTTCTGCAGTAAACTTCTGTGCCCATTCTAATATTTTATTACTCCTTGTAATAGGTCCTTGAAGTTGAACCATTTGATCTCCCTTGTTTAACTGCTGTACAGGCAAATCAGCAGGATCACTGGAGAATACTTTCAAGGCAGGAACAGCGGATAACCCATAATCACTAAGTGTTGACTGAACATGATCTCTGGAGGGAGCCATTTTTTTCAATGTCCAAACTCTACCTTCATAATTAAATAATCTTTTCTTACTAACTGACTTTTTGGATGAGTCCATCACATTCTTTGTCAGTGTTGAGTCACTTTTAGTGACAAAATCCAAATTCAGACTATCGTGCATTGTCACCTGATGTGTACTGGTATCCGAGTTATTCAAGTAGAAGCTTTCAATACCCATACTGTAATCTCTGTTTTGATCATAATCATCCTTGGGTATATCTTCTGCTTCTGATACACTATGTACACGTTTACTATCAGATGTCATTTGAACTAGGTTGTTGTTTTTCAAACGTAACAAAGAAAATTCGTCTACGTTACTGGAAGACTGAATGTTTTCCCCAGTATGAATATCAGATGACAAATTAACATATGGTGTTGACTGTTTAATGTTCCTATATTCAGGACTCTTTCTGGATGTTTTCTTCATGTTACAAGTTAAGTTTTCCAACTTATTAAGTCTGTCAGTGTCTAGGTTATGATAAGAACAAACATCCTTGCATAATTCTTTCTCTCTCTCAGGAAAAATGTCTTCAAGATCTAAAAAAGAGGAATGATCAGAAAAATTACCTGCTTTTGGTGACCAACACATAGGAGGAGATTCAGGGGCACTTTCAAGAGACAGTGGGGATAAATACGACAGTTTCCACATGGCATCTGTAAACTGGTGATCATCCTTCAGTTCTGATGATGTAGGACAACCAACAAAAATCTGGGAACTCTGGCCATCATCATTACATTTTTTGTGTGCACCACTTCCATCAATTAAATCTACATTCTGTTCAGAATGTTTTAGATTTATCTGTGGAATGTAATCATGAAACTCAATACTTCTTTCAATTCCTCCATTTTTTCTTCTATCACAATGACGAAGCTCAATACATTCGTCACTTTCTAGTAGAGCCTGTGCTTTATTTTTACCAGAGATCTTGTTATTCTTGTCACTATCTTTCAATTCTCTCTCTCCACTTATAGCTTTAGCCTGGTGAAAGTGGTCATGTAAATTTTTATTTTCAAACTCCTTTGTACAGATAACTTTCTGTTTTTTCAAACTGTTCTTATTATATATTTCTAGTTTACTTGGTTTATTTGCTTTAAAACTTTTAAAATCACAAGAAGAATGCTTTTTGAAAACTGAGCTCTTATTCTTTTCTACAAACTGTTTGGATTGAGTATTTAATCTCCTCTTACATGATAATTTACTTTGATTTTTTGTTCTTGTCAAGTTCTTCAATAAATTTTGTTCTTTTGTATCGTATTTAGAATGTGGTTCTTTGCCTGATATCATCTCACACAATTTAGTTATGAATGTTTCACTTTGGTTCTCTGTTTTAGAATTAATTTCCAATGCTCTGCAATCTACATTTTGGCTTTCTTTAGAACACAATAAATGTGGCACATCAATGGTTGTTTGACTGATAGAAGCAGAACTGGCTCTCTCCTTTTCACTATAAATAGGCAGGGTGGTATTACAACCAAACCCACCTACCAAATTTTCATTCTTGATAAAATACTGTTTAATTTTTTTTTCATTCAAATCACAGTTTTGTACACTAATGCCTGGAGTTTTCTCAGCAAAAGGCACTGAAATCTTGTTGTCATTACACATTTTAAGATGCAAACGCCTCAACAACACCCTTTCTCTGCCAAGTTTTTTAAAGTCCTCACAACCTAAGTCTGGTGATAGCTTTAATCCATAAAAAGGAGACTGAGTTTTAAATAAACTGTTATCATATTGGTCTTCAACAACAGAAGACTCAGTTAGCAGAGAGTCTGGCGATTTCAAAATTTTGTTTCTACAAGTGTTGTTTGGAACCGAATTTGATCTGAGTTTGAAAGACTTATCTAAATCTCTTAAAATTGTATTTTTTAAAGTTAAGTTTGATACTAAAGGTTCACAGTTTGCTTGAAATTTATTTTGTTCCAGAGATTTGAGATTACTAGAACATTCATCTTGCAATTTTGTTTTCTGAGAGGAAGATTTCCTTGATTTTTTGGAAGACGTTAGATTTTGATCTTTCTTTATTGGTACAGAAGTCTGGTTTTGTAAAGATCCATCTGGTACATTATAGAATCTGTTCATAACAGCAAAATTCCCATATGATTTCTTTTCTTTCCTATTCAATGACACCAGAAATTTTCTATGGTTTTTGTCTTTTGATGTTAATAAACACTTTGTATGGTGTTTATAACTTTCATGAAAAGATTCTTGAGACATCTGTATATCTCTGTCTAAAATATGTGGACTGCTTGTTTGTGCTTCTGAACATTTCCCCACCATATCTGTAGATGTTGATGACATGATAAGGTCAGTTCCTGTAATTTAAAAAAAATATTACAACTAGATCAGAATAGGATAACAACAACAAAAAACGGTTACTGAACTTATCTCAGCTTTTCCAAAATGGATGGGAATCATTGTTTACCTGAAATGTTCCCTTCAAACAGTGGAGATATTTAACCAAACTACAAAAACTTAGAACAAACTTATCTAGTTTTGGCTTAAAACATTTAAACAAATCAATGTAGTTCTCTATAATTTTTTAAGTTGTGAAATATCTGAAATTTTATTCTGTAAAAGTATTTTGAAATTCATTAAAAAGAATTATTTTCATTTTTTAATATCAATCTGAAAGTTCCACATTATGTATATACAATAAGTTTCAACATGACTGATATTCATAAACTTTTTTTCTGATATTTTATTCTTTCAATCACAGTAGTCACCACTTTTTGTTATAATCTGTAAAAAACAAGCATGAAGAAACAGGCAAAGATTTACTGGTAACTTAGGGCCTTACATTCCCAAATGATATCAGATCAGATTGCATAACAATATTTTTGCTAACAATATCAATAGTCAAGATCAATGTATATCTAATAAATAATTTTTCTATTCAATAAATTAGAATTTGTTTTATGAACTGATAGAATTTAATAAACTTAACAACATTCAATAAGTAAGAATTTGAGCTACCAATACTTTTTTGCTATCACCTACTTAACCATACTCACCTGATGTTTTGTCCAAGAATAAAATATATTTAGCTTTCAAATAAGTTCAATTTACCCCAAAAACAGTTTCAGGAATGAAAAGAACCCTAGGAAAACCATAACAAATTCTCAGAATTGTGGTTTGTTCCAAACTCCTTTAAACTTCCCACTGTTGTTCTCTGCAGGAGCTATATCTAATCACTTTCCCACAAAACCACAAATTACTCCTCAAACCAACTTATTCACTTTACATTGATATAGATACTTCATAATCTGATGGTATAAAACGTTTTCTGTAAGATATTTTCAAAGCTTAGTTTCATTAATAGATGTTCAGATCACATGCTGTGAGATTATAAAGTGGTGGGAAGAGGCTGTACTAATAAAATCAATGAAACAGAAGGAAAATAATGTTAGAAATAAAACCTAATAATTATATTTTCATAAGATAACAATTTCTTAGCAAATACAAACCTATACCTTGGAATGGGCATAAAAATTCCAAAACCTACAAGTGCATTGTTTACAGGTAAGACTCTACCAAGCTCTGCAGGAATACATTCAACTTTTTTTTTGAGTAAATCACACTTGATAAGTTAAAATATCAATTCTAAAATATTTTTGAGCTAAAATTGTTAAAATAAGAGCTAGAGCTATTATTCCTACAAGAATTTTGAAGTTCAATATGCAAGTGTGTATTAAACACCTGTAAGGTTCTCTATAGTTCAGGTGTATTGAAATTTGATTCTCAATCATTTTTTGCTTGATCGTTGTAACACTGCACAAACCACAAATTGTTAACCTCTTTTTTATTTAATTTTAATATAACTAAAAATCTCTGGTAAAAAATACACTAGATTAGAACATAAAGATAAGTATAAATGAAACAAATCCCATTCAATAAATTAACTAAAATTACTATGGCATGTACTTAATGACATCAACTGATTTTCAAACCATAATATTTGAAAATTTCGAAATAATGACCATTTGCCTCATCTGCATAATGAGGTCAAATCTGCACTGTGTGCATTTTGATATCCCAAGTTCATACAGTATTGTGTATATTTATACATTAGACGATGACTAATTCAGCTTGAACTATAGTAACAAAATGAAATAAATTAAGCTATTTACTTTTTATGACACATGGAGACAAACTCCAATAAAATATGAAGTTGAAGCTAGTCTTATGTTGAAATGTTCATAGAACATGAAGCAACTAAATCATGATACTAAATTATATGTATTTATTGTTTTTGGTAAGTCAGAAACGAATATATAATTAAACTCATTACATTTGAGGCTACAATTGTGATAGGCAAACATATCATATATGCTTTAGCTATATAGGAATATTTAACAGTTTTCACTTATTTAGTTTCTATGCAGTTTTAGCACAAACACATGGTCCAAATAACTGTTGGAATAGCCTAATTTCTGTATTCTATACAGTAGATATTACCTATTATGCTCAAGGGGATATTGTTGTAACACAGCATCCAAGTTGAAAGAATCGGTGACTGTAATATTTTTTGCTGGCCGAAATAACAATGTTTATATGCTACAGCCAACCAATGATGTGAGAGAGCAAGGGTCACAAATGATGTTGTTGACTGAACAAAGAACTGAGTTTACCTATTGAATTTAAGCATGCTTTCTTGATTCAGCTTCACTGGGATTTCTTCAAGTAAAGAATATACTTTAAGATAATTGTGTTTAAATTCTGTGAAATCTATCTTGAGAGAGAGAAAAACTGTGTACTTAACCATCATCCAGTAGAAGTGACTCTCTGTTCATCTGTGAAAGTATGTTGAAGTTTCTTTATTTATGTTAATAATAAATAATGTGTTCATTTAATTAAACTTGTTAAGTTTCTTTATTTTTCACACACAATAACATTCTGTAAATTTTTCAAATACAGACTATAAGTTTCCCAGTTGAATCTGCTGTTATCAGTGGATCTAACTTGTATGGGTATAATTTCATCTGAAAATACCACCGAGTATCAGCATCATGTGAATGAAAATTGCTTTTATTTAAACCAATTAGGCAAACACTGAAGTGGTCTATTAGTTAATATTGGGGAAGATTCAGTTTGTTACTCATAGTATGGAAGGAAATTACAAAACATTTGCAATATCACTATTGTAATTTATTGCAAAATTAACTTTAAATGTCAATTTTCAAACTCCTTTCAATATTTCATTATTTATAGTACTTTATGGAAAAAAATATAGTATTTGAAAACTAGACTAACAAACAGAGTGACTAATAAATCTGCTAACTCAATAATCATCCAACTAATGTAACAGACTCACAGATCATATACTCCACAGTAATTCCCATTCTTATGCCACTAAAAACTTTTCTAATCTTTAAGAAAGTTCCAATCAATAAGCCATGCAATCATCATGTGATATAAAAACTCCTTCTAAACCAACTTCAGCACAAATATGTAAATAAAAAAAAATACAGTCTAGAACAATATGCTTAACAAATCTATTACTTCTACTACTGCTTGATATTTTGTATCGGTGCTCATATGGATAGTTCATTAATTTGCTATACCAATAAGTTATTTGTAAACATAGAAAATAATTTCAAAGCTTCAATTCCTGCATAAAATCTCTAAGATATCTCGAATATTTAAGAGAATTTAATTGAATAAACTAGGATGATTTTCAGATACTTGAAACTTTATAAATATTTAAGTTATTAAAAATTCACAGACATCAGCAGAATTCTGAGAAAAGAGTAACATGAACTTTTAAAGAGGCTATCTAATGTGAGGCCTTGAGAACACTGGATGCTGACCTATGTGGCATGCTGCAGTCTCCCAAGAGGTTTCAGCATAACCACGGGAGGTAATCCCTTATTGGCAGCTTCCCACCATTGTCCCTGAGCTTAGTTGATCTACTCAAGAATAATTAACCTTAACAACAGTTTTTAATGAACTAAAGACTAAAAGTAAATAGCATAACCCAAATAATGAAGAAGTGAAATGGGGTTTTATAAATTACTTGGAACAGTTCTTTCACTGTCAGAAAAAGGAGCCTTGCCCTTAAAAATATTTGGTACATGTTTATCTGTTCTGGTAGACGAGTCTGGCCACAATCATATCATTGAAACTTGTATACATTTGTATACTCTCTGTATGTGTGAAGGCCACTCTCTTCATTCAGTGATTGTCTGGTCAGATATGTTATATCCAAGTTGGTAGACAAGTCTGGTCACAAGATATATATATATATATATATATACACACATACACATTAAGTGTCATATACTGCATTTCACTGGAATGTGTCAGTTCAAGCTACAGAATAGGAACATGTGATTCTCTAATTCTAATAAATATGTTTTTTATTGTTTTATATTGCTAAGGCTGAAATAAAGTTAGGAATATTCTATTTATGGTGAACCAGTTCAAACAAATGTTTTCAATCTGCATACAACATTCCTGCATAAGCCACAAGGTGAAATGATGAGAAAATTATTTTTTCTTCTATAACCTCATGGTTTGTTTTATATTTTAATAATTCTTAATGATATTAAAATGATACACTTCTATGAGTGTATGGGGAATATGAAAAATAAATATTTACCAATATTTTCTTGCACTTTATCATAAGGCACATCAATTTGTGGAACCTGCAGATAATTCTCTTCATCACAGTTTACTGGACTTAACAAGCATATGTCCGTCTTTGTGTCATAGTTTTCATGACAAGCTGGATTTTCTGTAGCAAAACAAAAACATTAACTGAAGTACCCTAAATGGAAGAATCAACTTAGTGGGGTTTATAATAAAAAAAGTGAAATTATATTGTAACTAATTTCATTTAGAATTCAAAGTTGCAGTTGAAAATTAAAGGCAATCTATAAAAACTAACAAAGCTGTTAAAATGGACAATCATGCAAAAAGAAAGACACTTATTTTTGTTTTGGAACAAACAAATTTCTCTTGGAAAACTTTTTTATAATAAAATGTTTTCATAATTAATAGGTCAATTTAAGGTATGATATATATGGTCGTCAAGAAATTAATGTCACATTTTGAAACACTTTCATTAACCACCCCACAAAAAACATACATCACATATAATAGTTAAATGAACTGCCTAAACGTCACGCTAGTGTAGCCTATATAATGTGTAAAGTTTAGTATACTCTAATCCCTTATAGTGATGGCACACAAAGAGATACACATTTGGCATGTAATGCTGTTTGAATACAAGAAGGGAAACAATGCCTCTGAAGCCACAAAGAATATCAAAGATGTTTATGGAAATGTTTTGAATGTTTGTAAGTGTCAACGATAGATCAGCATATTGAAATTGATATTGATGCTTTGAAGATGCTTGTTGAGTCTAACCCAAGGCAACACACTCGTGAAATGGCCCTGAAATTGTAGTCTCTCATGAAACAATACATAAACATCCAAAGAATATGGGAAAACTCCTTAAAGAAGGTGTTTGGGTACCTCACAAACACTCCGATGATCATCGTTTCCATGTGAACATTGCTTTGTCTCTTCTGTTGCATAATGCGCGTGAACCATTTTTGGACAGAACTGTCACCGGTGATGAAAAATGGAGTCTCTATGCAAATATTAAATGGCAAAAACAATGGCTCAGTCCTAGACAAAAACCACTTCCGACCCTAAAACATGAACACCATCCACAGAAAGCGATGCTTTGCATTTGGTGGGATATCAAAGGAGTAATTAATTTTGAACTCCCTAATCCACAGCGAAATGTCAATGCAGAGATCTATAGTCAGCAACTGGAATGTTTAAATGAAGCCCTCCATCAGAAACGCCCTTCACTCGTCAATCGGAAAGATGTTCTTCTCCACCACGACAATGCACACCCATATATGCCACATTTGACACAACAGAAGATTATGGAGTTGGGTTGGGAAGTTCTCCCCCACCCACCATATTCACCAGATATCGCACCATCAGATTACTATCTTTTTTGTTCACTGCAACATCATCTTAATGGGAAATCATATGCAAATATGGAAGGTATTAAAGAGGACAGACATGTTTTTTGCTTCAAAGCCAAGTGATTTATTTAATCAGGGCATTAACAACCTGACTGGAAGATGGAAAAGCATCATTGATAAGAATGGAGATTATTTCATTCAATAAATGTTTTGATATATGTTGTTTGGTTTTTCATCTAAAAAAGTGGCATTAATTTCTTGACGAACCAATATCATGTTTCAATTACACCTATACAAGGAAATCGAATAACTGCATACAGAATACAAAGTTAGAATCTAAAAATAACTTACTCAAAAGTGCAATATTGGTGGCAAAAAATACAATATAAACACTACATGAATATGGTAAATAACACATTATGAAGTTGCTGAACAGTCCTGTGTGATAAAAAATCAGATTTTGTTATTATTTTACAGGAAATGTGAATTGAGCTATGTCTTATAACAGAGAACCATCTATACAACACTCCCTTAAATTATACATATTCATACTTAAATAATATCAATACCAAATCCTTTAATTCATATTTACATGAAGCTTATAAAAGGGAAAATACTGTTTAACTATGAAAGTTCTAGAAATATTAATAATGATAACTTAATGAATTTTAGTGTTATTTGTTAATGCCTAAATCATGGAACTCCCAGACATAAGAGTACATTCCCACTGGCACCAGTGAGCTAGATTGGTTTAACCACACTTCCAGACATAAGAGAACATTCCCACTGGCACAAGTAAGCTTGGCCACATTCTCAGTCATAATAGTACATTCTCACTATAATTCAGAAATTTTGAAGCTTGTTAGAGTGTAATACACTAATCAACTGTATAAAACTTGCTTTTGTACATTCAGGATTCCTATACAAACTTTTACATTATTTCCTTAATGTTATTTCCCCGACAATATTACTAAACTTTCATTTAGGATTCCCATACAAACTTTACATTATTTCCTTAATGTTATTTCCCCGACAATATTACTAAACTTTCATTCAGGGTTCCTATACAAACTTTTACATTATTTCCTTAATGTTATTTCCCCGACAATATTACTAAACTTTCATTCAGGGTTCCCATACAAACTTTTACATTATTTCCTTAATGTTATTTCCCCAACAATATTACTAAATTTCCATTCAGGTGAAATAAGTTTCACCATACAGCTCAGTATGATATGACCAATCCATATTCAGCATTACTAAGTCCTACCACAGTCTAAGTTGTAAATTGCAAAATATTTGGATTTTAAGGATAAACCTACCTATAACCCTCTATTGCATGTTATAATGTATAGGTAACAAATCTATCTTTGTTGCTTAATACACAAATAACTGCCTCAATTCTGTAGTTGAATGTTCATACTTCCAGGTAACAGTTTAAATAAGCCTGTGAGTTATTTATGTTGATTCCTCAATTGAACAATGTTGCTTTTAAGTAATGAACCCATTTATAACTTACTAAAATATATTTCACAAAAATAATTTTGTGTAATATACACCCATTTAAGGAAGAAATCCAAAGAAAAACTTTAGATTATATTTTCATAATGCTTGCAATAAAGTGAAACTGCATTAGATAGAGAATATAAAAAATTTTCATTTTAAAGTATTCTATTATTCCATATTTCATTTTCCATGACATGGAAAAAATTTGTTTTCCCTTTCTAACAATTCAACTCTCCTTATTTCCCATTGTTTCTGTAAATATTAGATGTTATATAGCTTTCATTTTTACAATGAGATTAGTAAAGTTGGTTGCCTGTTTTGGATTTTCCTGCAAAGCTACACAAGAGCTAAGTTAACATTTTCCTGAATTGAAAATGTATTTCTAATAATACTTACCTCCACTGACAATTATAGTTATTACTCAAATGCCAGGGTTTCTTCTTTGCCCACATAAGCATTAGTCTGATATTCTCTCACTTGCTCCAGTCTTTTAGACCTAACTCAATTGCCCTTGGCAATAATTGTTTTGTGATACTCTTTACCTATGTCAATGTACCCATTACCCTGGTACCGTATATAAGCACATCATTCAGATAATTTTTTTAATTTTTCAAGACTGATACCATCCCAGTCTCTAACACCAGCTCTTAGTGGGGAGGTAGGGCGGGAGAGTGTCAGTGGAGGTCAGTATTGGAAATACATTTTCAATTTAGGAAAATATTAACTTCCAAAACATACTTGCTTCTGCTGTCACATATAGCTAGAATTCCACTTTCAGAAGGTGGACGGGCTGGTGAGGGCATTATCTATACAGAAAGTGTCTGCATAGATCATGGGTGTACAAAGATAAGAGCGGTACCAGAGTGGGAGAACTGCACTATGTCCAGAACTTAATTCCTGTATCAAGGATAGAATTATACATGAGTGATCATCATGTAGGCCAGCCCCAACCAGATAACTGAGGTTCCACCACTCGAGGTTGGAATTAAGGGGTCCTGGTCCTTATATCCCACATTGGTGGCTACAGCAGTTGGATCACAGCATCATATATAGATACTTTTGATTGAATCCCAACCCGCAGCCATAGAGCGATGTGTTCCGAACATTCAGGGATCCACTTCTCCAAAATTAGGGGGGGGGGGGGGGGGAGAGTAATGTGCATTGGGGAGTCCTGAAAAACAGTGCTCTGGAAACAGTGCAATAAGTGAACCAAGTTCCCCAAATTTTTAAAAGCAAACCGAACCCGATATATTCAATCCAGTGATCAGCAGGAATGGGCAGGATCCCCTTTAGTTTTACTCATGATAGTCCATGAGTGGCAGTCCAGCACAGTATGGTAATACCCCCTGGTGAGTTCCTAGGTGGTCTTATGGAACACCTGATTTCTACAGAGCCTATTGCAACTGGTAGAAGGGTGATATGAGAAGACTAGTCCTAGACCACATGCCTCCTTGATGAGAAACATAAGACACCACCACAGATGAGTCAGAGTGAAGCCTGAGGTTGAAGCCCAAACCATGAGGCTTTGCCCGTTGAAGAGCAAGGACGAGGAAAACATTGTGTAGGGAATCCTCGTCATCCGTACATAGACTCTGGAATTCTTGTTGATATATGTACTCCATTCCCGAAGCAAGACATTCGTGAATAGAATGGAACTCTAGACGAGGTGGCAGCAGAGGAACCCAAATCGTAGTAGTGTCCTGACTTAACAACTCCTTGAGATCAAAGAATGATCCCGAATAAGGAAACTGGGGAAACCAGGAAACAGATGTGTATAATCCCTGGTTGCCTAAAGACCACTAAAAGGATCACTTGTGTTCTCATCCCAAAGGCATGAAAGGTTCATGTGAGGCCCACATTCCCTGAAGAAAATGAATCATTTGTGCAGTGGAAGAAGGAGAAGTGAGTAAGAGTGTGGCATCCTATTCTATTGTATTGAGCAGGATGGTAGACAGCTGATCCCAACTGAGAGATGAGATGAAAAATAAAAATTACTCAGACTGATGACATTAAATTGGAGCAAGAATAGATTTCACAGTCCCAATTGATGAGATGTTGCCAGCAGTAACCAGTGATCCATGGAATGGTGTGTGCACAGTACAATGGAATGAAGTGGACGAGAAAACTTGTATGATACAACAGAACCTATGTTACGCCTATGCAAGTTCAAAGGAAAACCCCTGGAACTGCAGTACCTGACCCTTGTGCACCACAAACACTGATAGTGAAGGGACTCCTTTGCTAAGGCAAAGTGCAGATAGGAGCTGCCTATAACCATGTTAGA